GCAGCGGAATGAGCGCGAGTGCCTTTCATGCCCCCAGAGACGTGTTTGTCCCATGCGCTCTCTGCCAAGGGGCATGCCTCTGATCCCCCTCCACTGGTAGGAATGCTGCTGGATGGCAGACAGAGGGCATTTGTAGTGCAGATTGGCATCCATTTATTGTTTTCCTCTCCGTTCTCAAGACTTAGCAGTTTTGCTTAAGCTAAAGAGCTTGACTTATGCCGGGGGGGAAGAAAGATGAAGGCGTTTTCTCTTTCTTTCTTCTTTGGCTTTTCTTTTTCAAGAAAGATTAGATTGAAAATAAAAGTGAAGGAAGATTAGCCAGCACTGGAGACTCTGGGGGCAGACAGTCCGGCGGCCTGGCCCTCGGGGCCTGGAGCCAGCAGAGGATATGTTTAGGGGTGAATTTGAAACCCCCAAGAGGATGAGAGGGAGCTCAGACCCCTCGCTGCCGTGCAGGGCGCCCCGAAACACACCAGGATCCCGTTAGTTATTGGCCTGTTCCTTGGTGCGGCTGGGGCTTTGCTGTCGTCGGAGTGATCTGGGCCAGGGATTCCGGGCGGTGCCCTTTGTCCCTGGGTTTCAAAGCACTTGCCAGTCATCACAATGCACCGGGTAGGCAGCTGCCCCCTGCAGGGCAGTCTTGAAGGGCAGAGAAGGCAAATCTAGGCTAGGGAATAGACCTCCTGTTAGTTGGGTGCATTCAACCCAGACCCAGTCCTTGGCCAGCAAGCATGTGTTCAGACTAGCTTCCCCTGTCTGTGCTGGGGCAGCCATAGCCTCCCTGCTGTGCTGTGAGCGGGGCTGGTGTCTGCTGTCCTCCGGGCATGGGGGGAACCACGGCGCTTGCCTGCCCTGGGGTGAGAGCCCGACGCCTTCGGCGTTAAGCGCTCACTGGAGACATTCTGCCGCCTTTACGCCGACGGTCCTGAGTTTGGTCCGCGGACGAGAGAGGCCAGGAAATCCAAACGCCCACCTCCGCGTGAACTGCCCTGCATGAAAGAAGCGGAGAGCCATTTAGTGCCATGCGCCCCCCCTCCTGCCCCCACCCTGTTGTTTGCTGTGAAGCGGGCCCCCAGGGGGAAGGGGCATTCAACCCCCGGGGGCCAGGGCCGCTATTGTCTTCAAACAAACTGCTGATGACAGGAACTAAGGGCAGCGGGTTTGGTGCGCCGGGTTTATTTTCTCCCCCCGTAAATAAATAAATAAAATAAAACTGCAATTCAGAGCGCACTTGAAGGCTGCTGGGGAATATCAATGTGCCTTTGAAGTACAAGGGCTTCCATTTGTTAAACCGAAAATGGAGCTGTGTGTTTCAATTTAGAGGTTCCTTAGCAAAGAAAACCGGAGAGGAGCGACTGTTTCTTCTTCTCTCGCTCAGCCTGCGACTCCCCAGCCCCCGGTGTGAAAAGTCCAGTGCCGTCTGAGCCGCTGCAAAGGGAGCGGGGAATAAAGGAAACAAAGCAGCTTAAATAAGCCCTCGACGGACTAAGCTCTTGTCGATATGGCTGCAAAAAGGGCTTGGAGGGAGGTTTCTGAGCGGTGTGATTACTGAGGCGGCTTCTCGGGGTAACCAGATTAATGTAGACCTGTGTCAGCCACCCCTGGTTTAAAGAGTGACTGCGGGGGGTTCATCTTGTAATGAATCTAGCTGGGTCTGTGAGACCTCTAGTGGATGGATCAGAAGTGCTCAGCTGTGTTTCATAGGACCTGTACTGTTAATCACTAATGGAGATTCTCCTTTAGCTCAGGTAGCAAGATCCGAATTCTGTCCCCACTCATGCCAGGATGTTCCACCGGCAGTGGAATGACAGCTGTGAATTCCTCGGTGTCCCAAGATTTTTTCCACTATTCCCAGATCAAATTGGCGCGGTTTGTGTGTTGAAAGCAGGACGTCCTTAATGGTGCTGGATCAGGATGGCCAGTGGTTTCACTGCTACACAAGGAGGAAGAGCACCCAGCTCACTCTCCTCTAGCTGTGTCGGCTCAGGCAGGGCTAATGGGAGCATGAATTGGCTTGTGTCAGTAAAGCCACTTCCCCAGGGCGTCCTGCCGGAGATGGGATAGGACTTGAGTGGGAGCCCTCTGGAGCAGCAGCTCTCAACCTTTCCAGACGACTGTCCCTTTTTCAGGAGTCTGATTTGTCTTGCCGACCCCCAAGTTTCACCTCACTTCAAAACGACTTGCTTAGAAAATCAGACATAAAAACACAAAAGTGTCACAGCCACTGTTACTGACAAATCAGTTCCTTCCTCCTTTTTACCATAGAATTATAAAATGAATCCAGTGGAATATAAATACTGTCCTTCCATTGCAGCGTACAGTCTATAGAGCAGGATAAAGAAGTCATTGGATGAAATTTTAGTTTGTGCTGACTTTGCTAGTGGGTTTTATGTAGCCTCTTGTCAAACGAGGCAAATCTCTAGCTGAGTTGTTGCACGCCCTGGAAGGCTGCTGCATACCCCCAGGGGTATGCGTAACCCTGGTTGAGAACCACTGCTCTAAAGGCCCTCACTGTGTCCTGCGCTCCAGGAGACACCAGAGCCCTGCCGGAGAAGCAAGCTTGATTTGTCCTTTAGGGCTACCCCAGCTATGCCTAGAAACATCTGCCTCTTCCCCCGCACCCCCAAGTCTGAGCAGCACAAAGATCCTTAGTTCCTTTGGTCTGGGGTTTTTACCCCTCCTGCCATGTGCTCTGAGCAGCAAACGCAGCTGCTGGGAGGAGTCCACTGGCAACGCCCATCTTCCCAGGGAGGAGAGCAATGATAAGAGTCTTTGGTCCTTTCGATGGCGACTCCCCAATCCAGACGTGGGGAGTTTCCACTTGTCTGGACCCAGAGCCCGTCTGGTATTGATGGGGCTCCTCTTTTGGGAGGGGCAGAACAATTTCCCTGGAAGAGCAGCGCCTCTTCCTATGAATGTCCCTCCCCTGCAGAGTCGTGCAGCCGGGTGCAGAGGCTCACGATACGCCTGCTCGCACATTGCCCTGCAGTACGGAGCACAGACGCTGCCAGGGAGATTAATTCAGGCAGCCGCTCACAAGCATTCGACAACGTCCGGACACCGAACGCTTCCTTCGCATTCTAATACCGGTTCGATCAATATTAACCCGCCAGCGGGCCCGGCGGATTCCAGCTCCAGATCTGTCAGTGTCCAGTTGAGACGTGAGGACCTTGGCATGAGCTGGTGCCTGGTCTGCCAGCGTCACATGGGCGAAGGCCAATGGGAGAGGAGGTGCCGAATGTGAGGGGTGGTGCTGTCTGGCAGACAGCCAGAGGGTGGGGAAGTGCCGAATGTGAGGGGTAGTGGTGTCTGGTTGGTGGCCAGTGGAAGGCGAGGTGCCGCATGCGAGGGGAAATGGTGTCTGGGCGATGGCTAGTGGCCAGCAAGATGTTCACGGGACACTGTCTATTGCCGTGTGCCCCCCACTTTGCCTAGGATAGAGCGCTTGGTTTAACAGCCTGAGCTGGGTCTGGGAGCCTGGGACGCCTGGGTTCCATCTCCCCCGTTGTGTGACTGTGGGTGATGTCCTAGTGGGTTCCCCTGTGCTGGGAAGCAGGGGTACAGCTCCTGCCCTGCCTGGCGGGGTTGGGGGGAGGTTTGCAAAGGGCTTTGAGATCCCCTGTCACCAAAGCATCGTTATCTCTCCGGCCGCAGCATGGAAGTCGCCACTGTCAGCACAGAAGAAATCTTCCCCAGGGCAAAGACGTCCCCAGGTCTCATCTCAGCCTTGGCAGGGCTCTTTTAAGCACCAGGTGGCTGGAAAGAACAAACCCTTCAAAGTCCCCTCACTCCTCTCCTCTCTCACTTCTGTTTTCCTCCTCCATCCCCCTACCCCTGGGCCCCTTTCCACACCTCCTCCCCCACCCAGCCGTGTGCCAGGGCCGCTACCCTGCTGAGGAGGAGGGGTCAGGTTGGCGAGGTGGGTGCTTCCAGAGAGTGAGGCTGGGGCTGAAATTGCCTCACTGAGACCCAGCCCAGGCGGGTCTCGAGGGGTTGCGCTGGCTTTTGTTGGTAGGATCCTGACAGCTCCATCCCGTGTATGCAGAGGAGAGAATTGGCTCCGTCTCACAGCCATCAGCCCAGCCAGACCGTGGCACTGTCAGCCAGTGGAGTGACATTGGGGTAGACCCCCGCAGCTCTCTTGAGGGGGTTTTCTCTGTGGAAACCCAACCCCCGCCTCTCCCGGTCCTGCCCCCCTCCCAGCCCCGGCATAACGAGCTACCCCCTGTTCTGGCAACAGTGGGCTGGGCTTGTTAGCCTGGTGACGAGGGAGGTTAGAGCAGGGGGCTGGGAGGCGGGTTAGGGCGTGGGATTGAGAGTCCAGGTTCCTGGGATTTACCCCCGTTGAGGGAGGGAGACTGCTCTGATGGTTTGAACAGGACTCCTGGGTTCTCGTCCCAGCTCTGTCCCTGACCCTAACCCGTGCCACCTGCCCTTGGTTTCCCCAGCTGTAAAGCAGGACTGAGACTGGCCAAGGTGTGTGGTGGGGCCCCGGGATGGCGCAGGGGGTCGCTGGGGAAGTGCTGCCCCCATGCTTGGCAGCCCTGGGAGAGGGAGTCGAGATCAACTTCCTCTCTGCCACTGAGTGCTGGGGTGCCCTGGGCAAGGCTCTTCACCTCAGTCCCCCCTGTGTAATCCTTCCGCCCTCCCGCCCTGCCCGGGACAACGGGGCTCTGACCGTCAGGCTGAACGAGCAAAGAGGAGGCCTCAGTCTCAAGCCAGCCCAGGGCCCAATGCCCAGCGGTGCCGCCCGCATCTCCCTGCTAGAGTCAACGGAGGCATGTGCCGGCGGCTCAGGGAGGCTGGTAACTGGTCTTGGGAGGCGGGTGACTCCTGGGGGGGCTGAGGGAGTCCTGCTCCGGCCAGTTGCCGTTCAACCTGGTGTGTGGCGGCTGCAATGCCGTGGGGGGGAGTATGCCCCGTGGGAGGGGATGGGGGCCACATGGGGTGCTCTGGAGATCCAGCGGGTTTCATTTTGCCCCCTTTGCCTCTCTTTCTAGATGACGTTTCGCCATATTTCAAAACGGAGCCGGTCCGGAGCCAGGTCCACCTGGAAGGGAACCGCTTGGTCCTGACCTGCATGGCCGAGGGCAGCTGGCCACTGGAGTTCAAGTGGCTTCACAACAACAAGGAGCTGACCAAGTTCTCGCTGGAATACAGGTGAGCGAGCCCCTGCGCCCGCCTTGCCCTGCCGCGGTGGGGAACTGCCGGGACCTTTCACGTCCAGAGCAGCCGCAGCAAAGGGGCCGGGGAGCTTTGCGCGTCTCGACCGTTTCTTCTGCTCAGGCTGTTGTGGGGTAGGACGAGGGCAGCCGGCCGGGGCGTCCCAGGTGCTGGGGGATCCCAGGTGAGGGCACACAAGTGTCCTGTAGAGCGGACGAGTTCCCCCCGGGTCTGGGTGCGCAGCGGGGGTGGCTTGCTGGGGAGGTGGGATGCAGGGACAGGCTCGGAGCCCTGGGCCCAATCCACCCGAGGGCAGGAGATTGCTAACAGTGTCGCTACCCCTACGTCCCCGCAGGCTGCTCGGCAATCGAGGAGCAGGCAGGGCCATCGGGATGTCCCGGGATGCACCGGCTCCCACATCCAAGGCACTGGAGAGCGGCTAAGGGGCCAGGGCTGAGGAAAAAGGGAAGAGTGGCAGGAGACGTCTGTCCCCCTTCGCTCTCCAAGCTCCTGTCCCTTGCTAAAGGTCCAGCTGGACAGCGAGGGTGGCAGGTGCTGGCGGTGGTTTTCCTGGGGCGCAGGCAACTGCCCTGCGCTGGCCATGGGTGTCCAAGAGACCTGTGGAAATTGCCAGTTCATTCCCGGATTCACCCCCTTCTCCCAGACACGACGGTCTAGTCTCAGGCGTGTGCCCGTTGGGGGCAGTCTGCCCACCTGCTGCCCCATGAACATTGTGGCAGGGGCGTTTGGGGAGGTGGCCGGCCAGTAGGGTGACCAGACAGCAAGTGTGAAAAATCGGCACAGGGGGTGGGAGGTAATAGGAGCCTATATAAGAAAAAGACCCAAAGATCGGGACTGTCCCTATAAAATCGGGACATCTGGTCACCCTACTGGGCAGGGACTCAGGATCGCCAGGGACGAGGTGGCCACGGTGCAGCCTGCAGGCCACACCCCGTCCAATACGATCTGTGGCTGCCATCCCCTTGAACGCGGAGTGCGGCCTGGGGAGACTCCAGGTCCCAGCATTCAGGGCTCCATCTTGACCCAGCACAGGGGATTAAGGGGGAGCGTTGCATGCTGGGACTTGTAGTCTCAGCTGGCTGCCCCGCTGCAGGAGATGAGAGCAGCTGGTATCGGTAGGGTGACCAGATGTCCTGATTTTATAAGCACAGTCCCGATATTTGGGGCTTTTTCTTATATAGGCTCCTATTATCCCCCCACCCCCATCCCGATTTTTCACACTTGCTGTCTGGTCACCCTAGGTATCGGCCACATTTTAGGCAAATGACGTGCCCCCCTCCCCCCCCCCGCAGGTTCCTCGGGCCTGGCCCCTGGTTCTGGTCCATCTGGGTGGGAGGGAAGGAGCCGTGCGTGTGGTGCCTTGCCGTGTCTGGAGAACGCGCTGGGGCGGGGAAGCGCAGGCTGGCGTCGGGAGGAAGTGCGGTCCACTGAGGCTGGGACCCCAAGGATCCAGTGATAACCTGAAGATCACCCGGTCCTCATAAAAGCGGAGCTGCGGAGAGTAGGTAGATCCTGCACGAGCCGCTGGGACCGGATTTCTAGCTGGCTCAGGCAGGTGGCTGCAAAGAGTGATTCTGCAGGGAGCAGGCTAGGAAGGAGAAGGGAGCAGCGAGGCCTTTGACAGCCAGTGTGGGGTAATTCCAGCCAGGAGCCGGCTCCTGCAGAAGACCCCCGGTTGGGGGGAGAGGATCTAATTGACCCGTTGAATTTACGTCAAACTGTTTGATTTGGAAGATCCAGAGCTGAGGCCTGGGAGAAAAGGGACTGGGGCCTGTGTCAGGAGAGCACGCGGGCCAGGGCATCCGCCTGGTGGCTTCCCCAGGCACCGGACACACGTGTAACACAAAGACAGTCCCTGCCCGGGTGGCTGCGGCAAACGGAGGCAGGGGGCGGGGGACTGCTTTGGGCCGGTGAGATCTGTGTGCAGCGTGCACCCCGCTCTGTTAAGCCATTAACGCCGGGCGGAGCGCTTTGAAGATGAAAAGTGCCGCATGCTAATATTACAGCGCTGCGTACTTAGCCGTCGTTCGCCATCTTCACGCCGTTCGTTAGCTGTCCCGCGCTTTGACCATTATCAATAGCTTTCGCCGCGATTGGCAACGCCACCCCCTCCAGCCTGGCGGCGACAGCCCCTCCCACCGACCCCGGGGCCCGTCGTCAGCTTTATTCCTCGCTCCCAGTTCGCGTGGCAGGTGGGAGGAATCAGAAAGAAAAGCCACTGGTCCGGAGTCACAGCCGCTCGAGGCTTGCCTTTAAATCCAGCCGGGCGCCTCTCCCCCTCTCCTCCGCGTGTGTTATCCTCTCTATTGTAATCAATAATTCAGCCCTAGACCAGCCGTTCCCCATTTCAGGTAATCAAATCCAAAGGCTTCTTGTTGCCGTAGCAACTCCTAAGTGGTCCAGGACCCTGGGAACGCAGACAATGGGCCCGTGTGTGAAATCCCCTCCCTGACAGCTGCCTTGAGGGCCCCATTGTTGGCTGCTGGGCCCAAGGTCTGCTATGAAGGGAAGTAACTTTGTTGTGTGTTAGCCAAGGAGGTGGGTGCAGAGGGCCCAGGAATGCCGGGCTCTCACCTCGCTGCGCCGGCTGGCTGGGCTGGGCTGGGCTTTTGCTTTTGCTTTGAGGTTTATTTTTCCAGTTGAGATTCTGGGGTTACAAGGAAAAATGCCGAGCTGAGAGTCAAACTACCCCTCCCTGCTGTGCGCAGACAGGCAGCGAGCTCTGGGCAGGCCGGAGTCACACCCTGTCGCACTGCACCCAGGGCCCATCCCTGGGCTCTGCGCTCCAGCTAACCTCTCGGGGCATCTGCCTGAGTGAACAATGGCTCCGTGGCTCCAATCACCATCGCATCTGGGCACCGCACCATCATTAATGAATTTGTCTTTACATAAGCCCCTGGAGCTGGGTCAGTGTCGTTTTCCCCATGTTATAGATAGGGAAACTGAGGCACAGAGCTGCAAAGGGTCTTGCCTGTGGTCACAGAGGCAGCTGGCTATTGAACCAAGAGCTCCCAAACACCGGCCCAGTGCCTTAGCCACACTCCCGCAGCGAGCGTAAGACCCTCCAGACTTGGCTTGCAGTGACTCGCTGGGGGGGAGGGGGTGTCACTCACTAAGCAAACAAGCGTAGAACAAATTGCGAGCGAGAGGGCTGGAGCGAAGCGGGTGCTGCCCAGTGGAGTCGGGGCCAGGTGGGTGAGGAAGTACCAGCACGAGGCGTGGGTGTTTCACACGCAGCCCGTCACACGCCTCAGCCTTCCCTGCCCCCTGCTGTGAGCACAGACCCCCCCCCTCCCCGGCTCTTGGGAGGGAGGCACCACCGTGATGCCCGCAGCAGCCCCGTGGAGTGTGTAGCGGGGGGGCCTGTCCAGGGCAGTAGAGCCCCAGCCTCCTACACTGCAACCAGTCACAGGAACACAGCTGCCAGTTCAAGGGAGCTTGGGATCTGTGGGTGCAAATGCTCCCATTCAGGCTTCCAACAACCCGCAGGCCCCAGGAGACCCCCGCTCCCCCAGCTTTCAGCAGCTCCTGCAGCTGGGGCAAACCCACCAGGACGCTTAGCGCAGCCGACTCAGGGGACTGACAGGTCGGGGGAGATGGGGACTTGAGGGCACTGTGGGAGTGGGGGAGCCAGGTGAGCGTCCCGACCGGGGCGTGGACCCCCAGACGGAGTGCTAGGGCTGGGAGCTAGAATCGGGCTGGGTTTGCTGCTCTGCCACCTGTGAGTTTCTGTAAACTCCCCTTCGATGCTGAAACATCCGGGAGGCGACAGAGAAGTCGGCGGTGCTGGGGGTGGGGTGGATCTCGGGGTCACTGAGGGGGCTGGGGATCGGTGTGGTGAGCAATATGGGGAGCCAATTAAACAGGGCAGCGAGAGAAGCGCTGAGGTGGATGCCGACACGACAGCTTATCTGGCAGCTGCTGCGGCAGCGTTTCCAAGGTGGGTTTATTTATTCATGTGACAGGTGCTGGGGCTGGGATTGTGGCGTGCACACGGATCAGCCCGGAGAGGAGCCAGCCATTGCGGCTCTTAAAGGAGAAGACAGGAAACAGGCTCCTGGTTAACGTGTTACGGAGCAGGGCAGCATGTCAAGGGGGCTCTTCCCGTCCACTTGGAAAGTCCCGCAACAGCCGCATTGTGCAAAACCGGGCCAGGGAGCCACTTGCTGCCCCCTCGCCTGCAGCGCCGCCCCGTAGGTGCTGCGGTGCATTTCGATACGGGCTGCCTCCGCTGAGAACCAGCTGGTGTAGTCCTGTCTTTGTTAGTGGCATGGGGAGAGGGAATCGAGGCCTTTCCCCGTGGAAAAGAGTCACGTGGCTAGGGGAGGCTTGGAAAGGTGAGAGGGATGTCAGGAAACGTCAGTTTCACCAGGAACCAATAGGTCCATCAAGGAGAAGTGAAATTTACAGCTAGGCAAAGTAAGGAAAATGCTGCTTGAGAACTCGTTAGCGTTGGATTTAAGGTTACTTCCTTTGCGTGTTCTGACATGGGACGATGACAGGTTGTGTTTTAAGGGTTATAGAGCCGCGGTTTTCAACCTTTCTTCATTTGCCGACCCCTAAAAAGTTTCGAATGGCGGTGCAGACCCCTTTGGGAATGTTAGACATAGTCTGCGGACCCCAGGTTGAAAACCACTGTTCTACGGTAACGACCTTTCTCGGCTCCTTTACACATAGTCTGTGGACTCCCAGGGGTCCGTGGACCCCAGGTTGAAAACCACTGTTAGAGACCTTTCACTTTTTGAATCTCAAGTCTACTGTCATGAAATAATTGCCTGGCTTCCCCATTGTCTGACCCTCCCACCCCAGAATTTCCCACAAGTGTGAAAATTTACATTGATAAAAATAAAAAAAACCTGCTTAAAAATAAACATCACTGTTATCTGTCAAAATGATACAAAAACGAAAATGGGATTCTGCCCAGCCTGTGGTTGGGGGGGGAAAGGGGGAAGAGAAGTGATGCCAGGGTGGAAGGG